TCGTCCCCGACGCGGATCCGCAGGCGCTCGCCGGGGGGTCGCGGCGTCGCGCCCCCTTCGCCCCGGCATCGCGGACCGGGGGGTGGCTGGAGAAGGCGGTGACGTCGTTGTGGGTCTTCCTCGACGGCTCCGTTCGCGCGTTTAAACGACCTCGCGGCGACGAGGCGCATCCAAGGGGGTGACCGCGCGGGATAGAGGGGGGGGGGAAGGCCGCCGGGAGAGGAGGAAGAGACGCAGGCGAGGGTGTGGGGTCGCGCTTCCGTCAGATCGGTGTTTCCGCGCGCCTTTCGAAATAAGCCACCACGCCAGTCAACTGAGAGAGCGTTAGTGAAATTGACCCCGAAGACGCTTGGATTCCTTGTGGTGGGCTGAGGATATTGCGACGGAATGCATGATTTTCTTATTCCTATAAATCTACTTCATCAGACGTCTTCGTCGCGTTTCATTTTTCTCCGGTCACGTATTGATGCCCTTTTTGTGTTCATATATATATATCTATATATCTATATATATATGTTTGTTTGTGTGTGTGTGTGTGCAGCACTATCAAACGGAGAGTTTTTTTTTTACAATCTACTTAAAAAATACACGAAGGACAAGGTTGATAGGAATTTTATTAAAATTCTTTTCAACAGGGAGAATTAAAGTCCAGTGCTTGTTGGTGGATATATAGTATTGCTGCATCGATCTTGCTATCTCCTCCTCCTAAACAACGATGCGCAGGGCTAGATCGATGTGTGGGAAAGCTGATCTAATAGCCACTGCGCCTATGGCGTATATACAAAGTAATCATAGATTGCATCTCCACGGCCGCGAAGCTGTGACACCCGCCGGAGTCCAAAACCCCCACGGCGCTGCCAAGTGCCATCAATATTGTGGAAATCTGCCCAAGATTTCCACATTCTTCAGCGGACTGACGGAGCTTGGGCGACCTCACAGGTCAATCGTGGGGGTGGTTTCGATTCCAAGGGCGAATAATCGTCATGATGTTGTCTGTTCGCTCGCTTCTATCCCAAGTAGAGCGTTGGTCCGCGGCGGTTTGGTAGCGCACCTTCCCCTCTTAAAGAAGAGCGAAGGGATGTGCATTGACGAAAGGGAAAACGGGAACCCTCCCGTTCTTGGTCAAACTCATGCCTTGTTTCACCGTAATCTCGGTACGGTATTGCTATCAGGTACCACATCTCGTTTCTCGTCCATGGTGAGCGCATTGGGGCCGGCGATGGGGTTGAGATTCGGGGATCTGTGCTTTCAATCCCCCATTTTCCGAGTTGTTTTCGTGATATCGGGAGCGGTTTCAGGCAGCCACCGCCGAGGGCGACCTCAATGGAGCTGTCCCCGGCAACCTTACCACGATCCCGCGCAGTTCTCTCCACCACGATGGATGTATCGTATGAGTGATGCGATCGTTGCATCATCTGAAAAAGCCCTCCAGGTCTTACCGTTTTACTCTCTGCGCAGCCCCACTCGTTTTTGTGGGATTCGAAGATACCTTAATAAACATTCTCTGATCTCAAGTTCACTTTTGTTAGGAGCTTTGGAAGCATCAAGCCGTTTCTACGCGCCTCACTCATTTCCCTTTTCCCCGCTGCCGCGACCCAATGCTAAGGAAGAACAAGGCATTTATTTTTCACACACAAGCACAAGTATGACGTCAACGTCGAAGATTGAACTCGCGGAAGGGCTTTCTTCGGATCCCGTGAAGCGCGAACGCCACCCACCCTGGTATCCACCCAAGCAAAAGGACGCCAAAGGACTCTATCTGATGTCCTCCCTCACGGAATGCAACGAGGCGTTCGCTCCGCGCGAGGGTTCCGTGGTGCGCTGGTATACCTGCGGCCCGACGGTGTACGACCTTAGTCATATGGGGCACGCCCGCGCCTACCTCACCTTCGATATCATCCGGAGAATCATGGAGGACTACTTTGGCTACGCTGTCATCTATCAGATGAACATCACCGACATCGACGACAAGATCATCAAGCGCGCACGCACCAACAAGCTGCTTGAGGACTTTAGGAAGCACACCCTGAAGGGCGACGACCTCGTGCAGTTGCGTGAGTTCACCAAGAGGGCGCTCACCGCGGCGACGGCCAGCCTAGCGGCGCGGCAGGAAAAGTTGACGAGGCCCCTGCTCGACGGCGCCAGCAGCCGTGCCCGCGCCGAGAGGGAGGAAAAGCTGCTCGAGCTGGAGCTGAAAAAGGGGCAGCTTGAGGAGACGAAGCAAACGATCGCCGCCGCCGCGGCGGGGACCGACTTCGACGCCCTGTTCGACGCCGCGAGCGGGGTGAATGGGGAATTCCTGGACGAGCTCGAGGGGCATGCCGTGATCGATCAGCAGATCTTCGAGGAGCACGCCCGGTTCTACGAGCGGACCTTCTTTGAGGATATGGCGCGTCTGGGAATTCGTGAGCCGGATGTCGTGACGCGGGTGACGGAGTATGTGCCGCAGGTGGTGGCGTTCGTGCAGAGGATCCTCGATAACGGCTTCGCCTACCAAAGCCAAAGCTCCATCTTCTTCGACACCGAGGCGTTCGTGCGGGCCGGTTACGACTACCCGAAGCTAAAGCCCGGTGGCGACCGCGAGACTACGGAGGATGAGATGGCCGAGGGCGAGGGTGCGCTTTCCAAAAGTGTCGAGGGTGAGAAGCGCAGCCCGAACGACTTCGCGCTGTGGAAGTTCTCGAAACCTGGCGAGCCGCGGTGGCCGTCCCCATGGGGGGATGGTCGGCCTGGATGGCATATCGAGTGCTCCGTCATGGCGTCCGACGTCCTCGGCGATAACCTCGATATCCACAGCGGAGGGTGGGACCTGAAGTTTCCCCACCATGACAACGAGTGCGCCCAGAGTGAGGCGTTCGGGATGAAAAAGCAATGGGTGAACTACTTTATGCACTGTGGGCATCTGCACATCAAAGGACTCAAGATGAGCAAGAGCCTCAAGAACTTCATCACGATTCGCCAGTGCTTGGATGAGCTTGGGGTGTCGCCACGGGCGATGCGGCTCCTGTTCTTGTCTAATCCGTGGCATAAGCCGATGAGCTTCTCGGATCAGTCCCTTGATGAGGCGTTTGAGAAGGAGCGCATTCTCCGCGCCTTCTTCGGCAGCGTGGACGTCGTCCTACGTGGAGACAGCTGGGTGAAGCCCCAGGGCGCCGACGCGCACGATCGCGAGCTGCTTAAACAGTGGGAGAAGACGGAAAAAGGGGTTCACGAGGCCCTTTGCAATAACTTTGACACCCCCACCGCATTGACGCTGCTCATGTCATTGGTAGCGTTCATCAATCGATACATGCTTTGCCCGGAGCGGCAGAGCTCCACCTTGCTGCGTAAGGTATCGCGATATATCACCCGCATGTTTCAAATCTTCGGGGTGATCGAGGGCACCGACATGGTGGGCCTCTCGCGAGGCGCGACGCACGGCGACGGCAACGCCGCGGAAGGCCGCCTTGCACAGGTGATGGACGCGCTCGTGAGCTTTCGGGATGCGGTGCGCGATATGGCGAAGCAGGAACGTGTCGCCGCCGCGTTTTTGCCTCTCTGTGACTACCTACGCGATGAAGCGCTGGTGGATGCCGGCATTCGGCTCGAGGATAACGCCACCGGCCCCACAACATGGAAAAACGACGAGCCGGAATCGCTCCGTAAGGAGCTGATCGCACGCCGGGAAAAGGAGGAAATGGGTCGGCTGGTGAAATTGCAGAATCAAATTGAGACGAAGCAGAAACAGATCAACAAGTGGCGGCAGTACAGTTACGACACGAAGGAATTCTTCTCACGGCAGGATAACGAACGCGATGCCGCCGAAAAGAAGTTTTCCGCGTACGACCCGGATACTGGCCTACCCTCACGTTTGGCAAACGGTGAGGCGGTGTCCGAGAAGGAAATGAAGAAATATCAAAAGGAACTTGCCAAATATGCTAAACAATACAACGAGTTCCAGGAAAAGGGAGGCTTGCACTGGTTGGAGCAGCAGCAACAAGAGTTGAATGCGATGGTGGAAGACCTCAAACGCTCGAAGTAAGGTAGTTATTGTTTTAGTGAATTTAATGTAGGGGATTAATCTTTTAATGATTCAAGGAATTATGGGTCGAACATACGCGTATAATCCCTGCTTCTCTCCATCCTTCTCTCTTATAATTAATCATTGGGATAAGGGGCCCCTGCTTTTCCCGTATCGAATAAAGCAATCTAGCCTGGGTGGGCACTATTGTTGACAGCAGGGAGGTCATAGAAAAAGGTGCATCGAAATTCCATATTAAATAAACGAAATTCCCACTTAGATAAGTATAGTAGCGTATTTTTTCTTATTTCCATTTCCATTTTCATTTATCTTTCAAATATACAAAAAAATTGTTGGAAAATTGAATATATCACTTAATGGTCATCTTGAATTTCTAAAGCAACGGTACTTTTATCTGAATCTAAATGGTAATTGAATCTAAAGTGAGATTTAAATTTGATGGCTTGGTATTTAATCGGACTTCGACCCTTTTGTTGATGTTTCTTTTTACCCCATTTACGATATCTCCTCTTTATATTTATCTCATGGTTCAAATCCGTTCTTAATATGTGCATATAGGAACCTAGGGAAGATACAACCCAAGGACAGATAAAGCCGATATTAAACGAAAAGAAAGCCACCTTTTTCCTATTCCTCCTTCCCCTTCCTGCACTCGAATCTGAAAATTCAAGTATTAGTTTAATTCATTTGAGGAGCGGGACTGCTACTGATACAGCCACTAACCGAGCGGGGGCCATCATCGTGTGAGGGTGTCTAAGGTTTCCGTTATATTCGGATACCACCATTTCCAAGCTATTATTCTTGGTTAATTGATTGCCCATACCTCTCTAAAAGGTAGGGGTTCAATTGCTAATTTTATTTCTGTGTGCTCCCATCTAGCAGGATAGGGAGAGTGTGGGGGAGGGGGTGAACTAGGAATCATAAAAAATCCCCTTCTAAACCTAACTCACACGAACCAAAGCTTCTCTTCCAAAAGGGCATGCATCACACCTGCATTCTCCGGCGCACGCGGCTGTTTCAGGCACCCCGGCGATACACGGGGCTTTTGCCGAATGCCAGCGCGGCGCGCGAGAGACCGGGCGGCCCCAGCGGGGCTCCGGTCGGCCGCAAGCCGCGCCTCTCCTCCGAGGCCGTGGCT